ACAAAATTTACACTAAACTTTCTAAATGTTTATGTAACTTGTCATATATACTCCCGAAACATATTAGTTTATGAAAATAGAGATTTACTAACAAAATATTTAATCCCTATGACCAAGTGGTTGGTGGAGGGATGATTTACGCTTTAAACGTGGTATTATAAAACGGTTGGCTCTGGCACCGAAAACATTATGGATCAAAGATCCGAAACTCCAACGGTTTATAAAAAAAAAAAACATTTAATCCCTACAAACTGGGCAATCAATTAATATTTGCAAGAAAATATGCAAAGAGATTAACTATTGTATGTGAACATCATGTAATATATTTTGGTCAACCCTAGCTATCAACATCTTCATTTCATATAGCGGTTAGCAAATGAATTAAGATCACATTATTAAAAATCATCACCCATGTGACTACGCTCTTATCTTATAGTGTTTGCTGCTTATTTTGAATCTCCCGCTCAACGGTCGATAGTTTAGTTGGACGACAATGGACAAATTAAACAACAAATATAATATGCTAGTCTGGGAAAATATAGCATACTGGGTATATAGAGTTATATGTTATACTTTGGATCTTCTAGCATGTTGTACTAGATTGAGTCATATATTTTTATTTTCTTTGTTGTGAATAATTTCGTTTTTTATGAAAATAATTAGATTTATCAGTTGTAGATAAAAATCGTTTTAGTAAGATAACCAGATCTTCATTAAATATGATGAAGTAAAGACTAAAATGTTTATATTGTATGGTTCGATCTGATTTTTTTTTTGTTTTTGTTAATTAGTTAATGAGATTTCCAATGGATTCGTAATTCTCATATGAAATCCATGATGCTTAAATAGGTTTATAATCTCGGCAACCGTAGCCACACACAAACTAAAACAATTTCTCGAAGATTTTTTTTAAGGACACCCACATTTATATGTTTAACAAAATTATACTTATATTTTATGCATATGTTATTTTAAAAGAATTATACTTATGCATTTTAAATTGCATGGTGTCTTCGTTACGACAGATGTAGCTTTAATCTTCACGTAAATGTCTCGGGTCCATGCAAAATCTATCTTTCGTATTGTCTTTTTACTACTTTACAAGGT